TCCCAAAGAATCCCGAAGGGGCATCCAGGGGGCATCCTCTGCACGACACAGGCGCGGTGGCGGGATGCACCCACGGTCACCAGATGACCTCGGGGAGGCGCGCCCTCACAACGAGTGGTTCACAAGCGGTCGCCCAGCCTGTCCTCCGTCGACCGCCTGCAGCTTTCCACCGACCGAGCGCCAATTCCTTGCGAGAGCTTCGCATACCGTGCTGGGGCTGCCGCGCGCGGCGTGCGCAGAGCAGTAGCACCTGGAAGCAAGGCTGACCCCGCTAAGCCTATGACTAGATGGCCAATGCATCACCGGGGAAACGGTGCCAATATGTGCGTGGCTGTACAGCGCTGGCCTCGCAACGATTATGTAAATGCATCCCCCCTGAACATTGGCGGTTGTGTCGGCCATGTTGCAAACTGGAGCAGCCAAACCAAGACATACCCACACATTGCGGATTCAAGCTCCCTGCGCGTTCGGTCAACCGGTGAACAAGCGTGGACAATATGGACAATATACCTCGGATGCCATTCAAGGTTTCGCGCAAATGCATAGCATCTGTCACTCCCCTCCCTAATTCTCAAGCGCGGGAAAATTAACATCATTGCCGGGCCCACGAGCCTACACGCAGCACCTGCTTCTATCCCCATCGCGCTCCATGGAGAAAGAGGGAGCAACCAGGAGATGTGGCGGAAAGTCACGGCGAGAGTAATGTATCTCCCGTCCACTTCTGCCTCTTTATCTCTCTCCACTCCTGTCGCCGCCCTGGTCTCCTCTTCCCCTCCTCTCCCCGTTCCCTTGCCTCCCTCACTTCCGCCTTCCTCTCCCAGCTTCTGCACTCCTCGCGCCACCCCAGGGCTCACGGGAGCTGGGGTCCATCGTCGCGTAACACAGCGTCGCAGGCGCCTCGCGGAGGCGCCGCTGGCGCAGGGCCAGGGGGGACAATGCCAGAGAGGGGGATCAGCCACGACTGGGTACAGGACGAGGGGGAAAAGAGAAAAAGGACGGAGGATGCGCACGCACCCATCATTTCATCAAGACTGTAGAGGATGGGATACTCAAGTGCGCATTCGCGCCGCCCTGGGTCCAAGACCATCAATACCTGCCTCGCATGCGGTGCCAGCGCCAGAGGGGAATCTTTTTTTTCCGCCCCTACACCCACGCGCCCCCATGTGGTGGGGAGTGTGCCTCGCTGCGCGGATGGGTACGGCTTGTGGGAAATAATCCACACTGTGGGGCCCATGGGGGCCACATTGGAAGCGAAATTACACAAAGACTCACCTTTTGACGGCCGCTGGGCAATCTCGACAGGTCGGCGCTGGAGCCTCCTGTATCGATTTCGTGGGGTCTCATTCAAAAGCCGCATCCTTGCGTCGCTTGGAGGCGGGGGATCTGAACCTCGCCCGCGCCGTCGTTCGTCTAGCGCCCTGCTGAACGCTCCGACCAACAGCTGTGCGCGCCTGAGATTAATGGGATGCTACTGTCGAACTCGGGCGTATCATAGTCTCGATGGTTGTACATAACATGTGTACATCTATACTAGAACAGTCGCGCGCGCTTCGCGCGCCGCGCGCGCTCAGTTTCTAGATGTGGGCACGACCTGGGCTCTGAGGGGGGATTCTTGCCACGAAGGCGGCAGGGTCTTCTCCCACCCCATGTTCCGGAAGCGCGCTTCTGGAACATGGGGGGGCCTCTGATCATTCTCATGCGCTCCTGCGCCCTATTCGCTCGCACCCTCGACCCTGAACCCCTGCCCTCTGTACCTTGCGCGATCGTGTCGTCGATGTCGGCGGCGCATGGTCCCTTTCCCATGTTCCGGAAAGCCTTGTCTGGAACATGGGGGCGACGAAAGGCCTCGCGAGAGTGGGGCGGGGCCGCCTCGGCTTGTGTTGGCCTGAAGGCTCCATGGGGGCTCTTGGGGGTCTCTTGGGGGTCTCTGGGGGCCTGTATTTGTCGTCTATTGGAGTCTTTTGGATGCCTCTTGGGGTCTCGTCGGATCTCCTCGGGGACCCTTGAGGGCCTCTGGGGACCTCTTCGGGCCCTCTTCGAGCCTCCTGGGGCCCTCTCGGGGCGGAAAACAGGACTTTGAATGTTTCGTCGTCCTCTAGGGCCCCTCTTGGGGCCGCCTGGGAGTCCTCTCGGGCTGTATTGGGTGTCTCTTGGGCCGTCCGGGGAGCGTCTTCGGGGCCTCTTGGGCCGTCTTGGGGTGTCCTGGCGGGCTCTTGGGCCGACTTGGAGCGTCGGGAAGGCGAAAGGGCGAGAAGGCCAAAAACATAGAACAACACGATGGAACATGAACAATTATCCCTCCTCGGGGTCCTCTGGGGAGACCTCTTGGGGACTTCTTGGAGCGTCTTGGCGGCGGCTTAGGCCGTCTCGGGCTCATCTTGTTTGTTTCGGGGGCCTCTCCGCTTAGCTTCGACCGGAAGAGGCTCGCTCTCGACCCGCGGATCAAAAAATTGTTTCGGGGGCCTCTGGGGATGTCTTGGCCACCATGGCGACAGGGGGAAGCTGGGCGAGGGCCCCCGCCCCCGGTACCCCGATATATATATATATATATATATATATATATATATTATGTGTATATATACACACACACGTTCACATCAACATCGCGTGAATATGCACACATACGCGTATACATCATACAGAAACTAAAGTCGCCACTGGCTTGCTACGCTGCGCAGTGGATCGAAACGTTTACTCTACCAAAACCCATGCGTTTCTGCGGGGACGTGTTCACGAACGCGTCTTATCAATGACTGGCCGCCGACCAGAAACAATGAGAGACCAGCTGCCCGCGCGGGGGCAGGCGCTGCTGCTCCTCGGCAACCTGCGCTGCATGGGGGGCAGCGCAGCAGAATTCGCCGCCTTAGCTGCGCGCCGCATAGCACAGCTGCCCAAGGTGCCCGACTAAGTCGGCGCCTGCGGCCGCGCATGTCGACCGAGCCTGCTCGTCAAAGAAAAAGAGAGACCCGCCGTCCCTCTCAAAGACTCTACAAAATACACTTGTCGGCAAAATCTTGATCGTGAGCGGGAAACTGGCGAGCATTTTGCCCTGGCTGTTGACAAGGGTGGCGGGACCATGGTCATAATTTGAGTTGATTGTCCGCTGCATGCAGGGCCAAAAGCCCTGTAAAAGAACAAACATGGTGTGGGTGCACACACACCAAACACCATGCTGAACACACCGCCGCACACTTTCAACGTTGATAAGTGTGTACGTGTGTCGGCATATCGCCCGATGTGTGCTGTCACGTGCGCTGGCCCACCTGGCGGACCCTGCTCGAGCTGCGGAGAACCTGGCGCGGCTGGAACGTGGCAAACTTGGCGAAAGAGCTGCGCATATGGCGTACCAGGCTCGGCCCCAGGGCCCCCTGGGCCACATGGTGTGCACGGTGCGCCTGGCACGCGGCGTGGCGCACGCCGCGAGCATCGTGCACCTGCCATTCGTTTTGGCTCCCAATGGCTACCCATCCGATGGCGACCTTTGCCTTTATTGAGCCTCTGGTCCTACGTGTATGGTGGGAATGGGCGAGACAGATTGCGGCGTTCTGGTTGGGAACGCCACACTTCCCCGACCCCCTCCTCTGGATATGGACAGGGGGCGCGACAATTTAGAGCGTCTGAGGTGGCCCGAGATGGCTCCAAGATTGCACGAGATACTCCATTATGGCTCAAGGAGGGCTTCTAACAGGCGTAAACAAGTTCGACGACTACCACAAGACCCCCTCCCCAGGTCCTAGCTCCGCAGATCTCGTGGCTTCAACGCCTCATGCCGCCTCTGCGATTAAAGACGCCATGCGAAACACATTGAACGAACTCACCTCCATGAAACCCCCGACACGGCTCACCCGCTCACTGAATTCCCAAGACGCTCTCAAGAAGCCCCCAATACGGACCAACAGGCCCCCAGTTCTTCCCCAGAAGGCATCCCCTCAAAGAGTGTCTAAGGAGCGTCCGAAAGGGTCCAAAAGGTCGCTGAGACTGCCCAGAAAATCCCCCAAATTACCCAGGACTCCCGTAAAGGTATCCAGGCGACTCAAACGCCTTTAACAGACGCCTTCAAGTAAAACACGTCTCAGAACAAATCGCAAGGGCCCGAAGGACGACTAAGACGGCCGATGAGAAACTCAAGATGATCTCAGGAAGAAGTTCCAACGGAACCCCTAAACCCTAAGACGAACCCACACCGCGAATAATACTACAAGTAATGATAAACATAATAACAATAACAACAATAAGACGAATAATAAGAAGAAGAAAGAAGACGACCACCAGGCTGTATACTGTACCCCAAAGAATGGAAGACCGACCACTACCCCAAGATGCAGGCGGCCAACTTAGAGTTGAATCCCAAGCTGATCCCTGCAATCCTCGAGTCCCTGAGGGAAGGGTGTATCACTGCTCCGTATGAAGAAGCACCACTACCCCGCTGGTTCTGGCCCTGAACCAGGGTCTCCAAAAACTCACCGCCCACCATCCCTAACAAGGAAACGGGGGGCGGGCCAACGCCGATCCAAGACATCCACGCAGACCTCCGAAACATTATGCTCATGCCGAATTGTGTTCTTCGGGAGTCGCAGCCACCACCTGGATAACCACAAGGCCCCGCCCTAGCACGGAGCAGAAGCAACAGCAGGATGAGCAGGAGAACGACGAGCGGCGACGACCACGAGCTCCTGGCGCCCTGCTCTCGACCATCCGCGGCGGCGCCGGACCCCGAAGCCACCCCCCGGGGCGCGCCGCGCGGCGCTCGGGCTCAGGTTGATTCGCCCGCGCGAGAGTTAGAGGAGGGAGGGAGGAGGTAGCAGACTGCCTGACGACCCTACTCAGTGCTTGCGCAGCAGGGCAGCGTGAGCGGATCATTGCAGGGCCTCCGCGTGACACGTGGAGTGTCACCAGATCCCCCCCCAACAGGGTCGAGGACACCTCGGTCTCGAAGGGACGCCACGGACTTGTGGGGATGTGCGGCCAGATCTGTCAAGGCATGGAGGTAGCTCGAGCTGGGCAATTCCTGTTTTTTTCTCCCACATCAAGACAACCATCGGGCAGAGCCTGAGTGCGCGCGCACATGAGACGGAATGGCCACAAGAGCAACGCGCCAGGTGGACCCCATGGGTCTCATGGGTGCACCCGAAGGCCTCAATGGCTGGGGCGGCATGGAGAACGCGCTTTGGCCCTCCCTGCCGCCCTCGCCCTTTTCCTCTGACCACCCACCCCCCTTCCGCGCGGCCGCCTCAGGACCGGGCCACGCTCAGCGCTCCTCAGCGCAGGAGGCTGCTGCACTTCGGCGCGGGGGCGCCCGTGTCGCAGAACTGGCAGTCCTGGTTCTTCCCGTCGGCCTTGCAGCCGACTCCGCTGCAGCCCGGGCTCCACAAGCACTGCTCGCTGGGGCCTCCGCACGAGCTGGTGCCCCCGGGGCACGGGCACTGGGGGACGTTGCTGCCGCCGCAGAAGCGGCAGGTGGTGCCCGAGATGCAGCCGGCTCCTCCTGCAGAGCACGCCGGGTCCTGGTAGCAGTACTGGAAGGCGTCGTTGCACGTCTTGGCCGGCGTAGTGGTGCAGGTGATGCCGGCCGCGTCATCAGAGTGCGCCTTCACCTCCGCGAGCTTCTGGGCCGCAGTGGACTGCAGCAGCGCCGCCTCCTCGCCGCCCTCGGCGCACTGGCCTTCCGCGCACACCTCCTCGGCGGCGAGCGCAGAGGCGAGGAGGGCCATGGCCAGGACGGGGAAGCGAGCCATGCGGGCTTGGGGCCTGCCTGCGTCGAGGGGCTGGCGTATCGCTGGCCACAGCGCTTGCAGATCCGGCTTGAGCCAAAATGGCGACGGACGAGCTGGGCAATTCCTTGATGAGGGACACCTTGTCATTCGCGGTTACTTCTTCTGCTGGTGCTGGAGTGGCCTTTTATCATGGTGCAACCTGGCCCCCCTGCCCGTCGCCACTTGCCTTCGTGCTGGCTGCTCCCCGAGGTTGCATGCATCTGGACCCCTCCGAGGGAAACGCGCTCCCTGAACGTCTCTTGCCGCAGATGTTGTCCAGTGTAAGCTAAGGCTGGGACTAAGAAACCCACCCACCTGGCCCCAGAGCGCTTGCTCGGATATGGGCCCTCCTGGGGAGAGGCATGCGAGTGCATTGCCCTGGCCAATATGCAGTGCTGCATGGCTTGAATACTGACGGGAGCTCCAAGCGCACGGCGGCGGCTAAGCAGTATACAGGATGACGATGTATTAAAAGAACATAGGGGGAACAATTCAGCAAACAGTGTCTTTGATTTATATATGATTCTTCAACGGGAGGAGGACGATTCAACAGGATTTCTACTACACTTCGGCTTCGTATATTGCGTCGAATACTCATTTCACGCCGTCGTCAAATCTTACGTTAAATACTCATTCGACGTCGACTTCAAATTTTACGTCAAATGCCAATTCTACGTCGGCTTCGAACTTTTACGTCAAATACTCGTTCCACGTCGGCTTCAAACATTATGTCCAATGCTCATTGGACGTCGGATTCAAATGTTACTCCAGTGCGCTATCCACGTCGAACCAATTTTAGAATACAAGAGCTGGCCCGTCGGCTGTCCAGGCGCACGCCCGAGGACGGTAAAAAGAAAGTTTCCCAGCCCGCGGCCGATTTTTTCTAATCATCCTCCAGGGCGCTGCCGACGCAACACGACCCAAGGTCATGTATGAATTGTCATCCTCCAGTACCTGGCCCCCTGCGACATGTCCTCGGGGAAACTCCCTTCGAGGCTGCGGCAGCCTTGGCCCCGACGGACCCCCAAGTGTTTTCTTACCGATCGATCCAGCGCTCGAGCCTTTCTTCATGCCTCTTGACCTGTACAGGGAGAGGGGATGTGGAGGGGAAAGAGGGGAGGGAGACGAGGGGAGGGGAGCGAAGGGGAGGGAGGGGAAGGGAATTGAGGGAAGGAATGGGATGGGAGGAGGGCGGCGGGGCGGAGAGGGGAGGGAGGGGAACGGAGGGGGGGGAGTGAGGGCGATTCTCCTCCCAACCGCCTCCCCCAGGGAGGGATCTTCCTCCAGAACCAACCCTTTTAAGACTGTTCAGGCTGCCCCTTCCTCACGCCCCCCTCGTCTCGTCTGCAATACAACTTTAGAGCAAGGTCCGCTGAGTCTTCGAAAGAGACACCATGTCCCTTCGGTCCTTCCATTGTCCTTCCACTGGTGCTCCTAGTGGACCTGGCCGCAACTGAGGCCCTCGCGGGGCGTCGTTCCTTGTCCAGCGCTTCATGTGGCAAAACTTTGGCTGTACTACCCCTTCCCCCGCCTTCCCCTCATCTTCGCGGCACAATATAAGCATCTTGAATAAAAACTGGCCTGCCAACAGGTTATCACGGATGTTTCGTATCCCCCGATGGCCTTGGGGATCCACAAACTGTGGGGCACGTCAAGAATCTCAAAATGCGACGACAAACGTACACATATAATTTTTTGCGCTCGAGGCCAATGTCTGGGGTGTTCACACACGCATGCAACACTACATGGACAAAGCGGCAGCAACAACGGCCGAAATGGACCCGCCTCTGGCGGCGCCAGCCGCCGCTGTGAGGTCGGATGCGAACGTCCCCCAACTGTGACCACCCTTCCCCTGGCCCCGTCTCCTTCCTTCTGGGCGCGTGCGAACCCAACCTAAAATCCTAAACTCCTGGATAATCCCATATCCTCCTCCCTCCTGTCTGCATCCGTGTGCCAACCACGGGCTGCAAACGAGGTAATGGTAAAACCATGCCCTGTCCGCATTCACTAAGGGTGCGCCGCTAGATCCCCTGGAGAAGGGAGGCCCAAGACCACTCCCCTTCCGCCCCCCCTCTCCTGCTCTGTCGTCCCGGGCACTCCCGCTTTCCAGATCCATAAGACCCGACCCCCGTTCTCCTTCAAAGGGGTGGAAGTGTGGATTTGAAACCCACGTTTGGGCTAGAAAATCTGACCCCCGTCCTCCCGTTTTCTACGCCGCGTCTGGCCGTCCCCGTCGCCCAACACTCCCATACCGAACGCCCACTCCCAATCCGAACACCCTTATCCTGACCCTGGCATCCTGAACCTAACACCCAAGCTCCTCCGTAATCCTTCGGTACCACACCGTACGTGACGTTTCTTCCTCACTGTCCCTTGCTACTGTGATATGGATCGGCGCGCAGCGCCGGGGATGCTTTTGCTGTGAGCGCGGCTAAAACAACTGGCGCAGCACTGAGGCCAAGGGCCCTGATAAATAAAAATGGCAGCGGCGACCAAGAAATGAAACCGCAGGCCCCTCGAGGCTTCTGGGGAACCCCTTTTCGGGCCCTTACATTCCTGGGGGGTGAGCTTGACTCGCACTCCTCCTAGGACATGTTCGGATCGCCGTCTCGGGCGTCAGAGCGGGGACTATAGCAAGCAAATCACTCGCCGGCAAAAACCACGGAGATAAGGACGCAAACGGCTTGCATTGTATAGCAGACAAGGAATACTCAGAAATGGCCGGGGTTCGATCGCGATGCGACAAAACCCACAAGATATAGCCACCTTCTCAAAATACTAACGGGTGTGGTCGTCATTACAAACGAGAGCTGTGCGCACTGAAACGAATGAAACTTCTCGGACAAAAAGCGGGGTTACGTGTGGATCGTTATCCGGGTGCAAAAACAGCGATATCGGAATACGTATATCTTGGCCAGGCGTAGCATTGGCAACGATGCGGAATAAGTGAATCTTGACCGGGCGTAGTATTGGCAACGGCGCGAAAAACATAAATCTTCGCCAGGCGTAGCATGGGCGGTAGAACATTTCCGGTCCGATCGGCCAAACAGCCGTCAAACCAAGCGGGGTTCACTTGTTATTCGGCTTCGCCGGCTTGTCCGCTTAATCGGATCCCCGCCAAACGTCTCTGCCTGTGAGCTTCCACCAGCGGCCCTTGAGGTAATTCGTCACACTCTCCGGGAAGATCGCGAAATTGGGATTTCCGAAATGATAACGCCGAAGAAGCCACGGAGCGTGCTTCTTGCAGGTCTTGCAAACAAATGTATACACTATGCGGGTTGTGGCCGATGACCACATCATGATGAGGAATGCCAGTCGCGGAACTGAGCATGTCGTTCGGTTGCGCAGTCGGGGGCGATCCGCTCCACGACACAACACTGGCTGATGAGGCTCAAATGGAACTCGATGAGCTCGTCGCGGAAACCGCAGTCGGTGATGCGGGAGCCGAACTTCCCTGCGACTTTGCTGATCTTGACCGTTCAGATCCCCGTGCTGATGCTGCGGCATATGGATGGCGGTGGTGGTGCGATGGCATGCGGTGGTTCTGTCGGTACCTGCGGCGGTGGCGGCTGCTGAATCGTAGCAGATGCTTCTGAGCTCGATGCCTGTGCGCTGCTGAACACGTCCGCGTGGGACATCGTGATGTCACCATCGTGATCGCCGTCATCTCGAATGGTAGGTGGTACGTTGCGGTGTCGGCCAGGCATGCGGCCGTCCCAGCCAGAGTGCTCGCCCATAGCCTTCGCCTCGGCGGCGCTCTCCTATTTGGCGATCGAGTTGTTCTGCTTCAGGATCGCCCAGAGCGCCATGAAGATACTGAGACCGATAGTCACGCCGAGGACCAGCGTGAACGTCAGCAGGCACACATAGAAGCTGTAGTCAGGCATAGTCGGCGCGGGCGCAGGCCGCCCCTTGACTTTGCCGAGGCAAGCGAACAGGACTGATGCGAGCATGGCAGCGCGTGGCTGCCGGGCCCCATGGGTGCGTTTGCGAGCCCCGAAGAACGACGGCAGGACGCCCGCCTCCATCGTCTTCATCAAGGCGCCCGCGACCATGATCCAGGTCGGGATCCAGCTGAGCTTGAGCGCGCTGTTGGGGATGCACGGCCTCCTTGATCACGGGGGCGACGATGCGGAACCGCTTGTCAGTAGACTGGCCCGCATCTGAAGCGATGTGCGTCACGTGACCCTTGCTGTCGCTGTAGATCTCCCCAGGGCGCTTGTCGGCGAGCACGTCGATCTGCTTGAGCGCCGTCTTGGGGTCGTAGGCCTCGGTCAGCAGCTGTCGGAACCACATGTTGGTCTCTGACCCTTCGAGGGTAGCGCGTCCCTCGGCAGCGAGGGTCGACTTCACCGACCTCTGTGCCAAAGTGCCAGGCGACGGGCAGGCACAAGTCGCACCAGCCGCCGACGACGTCACGCGGGCGATGGGCGAGCCCCATCACCATGCCCCACTGACTCTTGACGCCGTCCACGTTGGCGAACGCGGCGTCGCTGAAGCACGCGGTGATGGCCGTCTTCAGGTCGACGAGCCTGCGCTTGAGCACGATCGCGAATCTCGCGGTAGAGTGCACATTTGCGACTGTCGTGTTGAGCGTCTTCGCGTCGGCCACTGTAGCGACTTTGGTGCGTCGAGCTGCAAAGCTAACCGGGCAGACTATGTCCACCCGGGTCCTGCGCTGCTAGCCACAACAGCTGCCCGAGCGCGTGGCGATAGCTCGCCACCTCGGTGGCGGTGAGCCGGTCCTCAGCACTTCGGCCCTTCTGGGCCTTCAAGTGGACGTGGTCCACCTGTGCGGCAGCGGTGGCCTGGGTCACGCGGAACTCGTCGTCGAGCTTGGTAATCGTACGTCCGCAGTACTTGATGACCCCTTCGGCTGGCTTGAGGTGTACCTTCTTCCCCAGCGATGCGATAGCGGTATTCCACTCGTTGGAGTTGTTGCGCTGGGCGATAAGGAAATCGTCCACATGTGAGCGGGCCACCGCGGCGAGCCCACCTTCGTCGCATAAGTAGTAGAAGCCCTTCTCGAGCTTGCTCTCCACGAGGCAGCGCTCGGCGAAGACCTTCTGCGCGTAGAGGTACCGCTGCCTCCTGGCGTCGCGCATCCCGTAGATCGCG